TCAATTAGTGACAGTCATTAAATACATAAATGGTTAAACAGTCAAAAGTATTCCTGGTTTTGCTTAAATTAAGTGATTTCTAGGCATATTTTATAATTCTGAAAATAGGGCTAGAACATAGGACTAGCAGGAGAAAAAAAAAAACTTAACTCATTTTCTTAAGTAACCAGACAAAAGAGAAATGGTTATTAAACTCATATGCATAAATCATTAGTGACTTGCTTCACTTAGGTGGAAATATGTGTGACCATAATAACAGATGTTTCTTTAAAATATTACCATTCCATGACTATGTCTAGCAAATCAGGAAAATCTTTGGATGAGGGAAGGAATGTAGGGAGTTGAGGTAGGAAATTAAATTATTTCACCTTGGTACAAACATGATAATCAATAAATATTAACTGATTTTTTTTTAAAAAGTAAAATTTGGAGGTTTAACATCCAACAAAATCATATGTTTTAAACCAAATGGCACTGGGCACATGCTATCCACTTTATTTTTCTCCATAAATAAGCTAGCCATCTTTACGTGCAATATCACTTTAAAAGATTACAGGAAGTGGCATGATGGGTAAGCATGTTAGGTAAGTTCCAGCAGGTCCTACAAGCACACCCGCGGGCAAATTATTTAACCTTGTTCAGCCTAAATTTCCTTAGCAAGAATATTATTACTTACTTTGAAGGTTTTTGCAAGAATTTGAAAATGCACATAGGGTATGTGACATTATATCTGACACATAAATTATCAATTAATAACTATCAGCTATTAGGATGGTAAGTAAAACCTCAAAAATAATCTTTCAGTTACAAAGTATGGTTCTTTGAAAAAACCTAATGTTGTGTCTTAGCTTATAGAGTTGGTTAAGCATTCAAAGTAACTTAACAATGTGTATTTCCTATACACTATGTATTAGTAGGATCTGCATTTTAATGCCTTTTCATAGCACCCTTTGTGTACTTATCTTAGTGATTATTTGATTAATGCCCCTCTGCTACTCTACTACAGGTTGTGGAAGCAGAAATGCTTGTTTTGCTCAAAACTGTATCCCCAGTGTCCAGTACTGGTCAGCTGAATAAATATTCACTGCTTAAATAAAGACTATCATAATAAATTTCATGCTCATCTCCATCATATGAGCATGAGCATCATATTTTCTTGAAATTGGAAAGACACTTGCTAAAGAGCATAGAGGTTTTTTTTTTTTAAAAAGTAGAGGGTTAAACTCTAAGCCTTGATTTCCTTCCAATATACCAAACTGAATAAAAAGTAAAAAACCAGCAATGGTATGGCATGAAAAAGGAAATAATTCCCTGCTTTTAAGGTAAGAATCATTATTCAATTATGACAAAAATTGCTTTTATATAATTATCATACATGCTCAAACTAACAACCATCTAGAGTGGTTTCTCCCCGCCCCCAGCCTTAAACAAAACTGTGGGGAGAATGTCCCACTGAGAGGAAGGAAATATAAGTATTAATTTAGATCTTCACATTTCTTTGTTCTATCAGTAAGTAGCAATTATTCTTAAATTTCCAAATCCTTACCACCTACCTGTTCAGCAATATAATGGAGGAAGAGTGCTCATTCACTTATTCAGTGCCCATCATATGCTGCACATGATGTTCGGCACTGAGGATAAAGGGGAGATTAAAACAGACAAGTCTTTTCTCATAGAGATTAAGTGTTCATTTTAGGAAATCTACTTTGTCCCTACTGTGTTCCTTGTATGTGTATATATTTTACAGGGAGAATCTGACTATTCTTTGGGATGTTTACTCAAAAAGGAAGTTACTGCTACCAACATATTCATTATAACTGAATTAGCTGAAAACAAAACAATTTGAAAGTCTCCTGGAGTTCAATGTAATAACATTTTACAAGTAAAATATTTTCCTCATCACCTCAAATCAGTTAAGAAAATAATGATTTTGGCCCATTCTTTTCCCTTGGCACAAATAACTAATTTCAGTGCACTCTCACACATAGTTTTGAAATGGGAGCCAAAATGAGCATTCACCAAAATAATGAAGAAAATGATAATCTGGAAGCAAAAAGTATGAGTTCTGAACATTGCCCAGACACTGTTAGCATCAATCAAGCCTTGGATGCCAGGCAGCCAACTAAATGTAGGACTCGGACTGCATGAATGTGTTAGATGCTGTCTAAAGAAAGCAGTTTTTATTAGCCACAGTTCAGAATTTGGCTGTTAGCACACATCATGTTTCTGAGTCATCAAATAGAATCTGATTGGGAAGACTGTAACTGTCCAAGTTTTACAACAATAATGACAGAAAATCAATGACAATAAATATGTGTATTTAAAATTATTAAAAAGAGGAAGCAAAAGGAAAAACAAGCAAGGAATATCTCCACCAAATTATCATTATACCCATAATTTATATGTCGAAGAGATACAACACTCAAGAGGCCATGCATTTTTATAGCAACTATATACAGACAGCATTAAATATCCATTTTATAGGAACTATATACAGACAGCATTAAACATTAGTTATATAGTGAGGAAAATAATTTGTTTTAATATTCTTTTAATCTTTCTTTATATCAAGAAGAAAGTCTCAATTTGGTGGTAATATGTTTTAAACACTTCCAGAACATTTTCTAACTTCTTTAACAGAGTATGAGCACAGATTTGCTAGCCTTTGTAAACCAATATTATCTAGCTCGGTAATAATATTGCTTATACCCGTGGTTCTCAAATGTTTTGGATTTCTTTACATTCTTAAAATTACTCAGGACCCTGAAAAAACTTACAATGATGTGAATTACACACATCAACTTTTAACATATTAATTAAACCAGAGAAAACCTATACATATCAACTGATTTAAAATAATAAAAGTAAACACATTACAGGTTAAAATAACTCCCATGAAAAGTAACTATATTTTCAAAAGAAAAAAAAATGTAAAAAGAATGACATTTAGATTTTTATTTCCAAATCCCTTTAATATCTGGTTTAAGGTGATAGAAGTTGGTAAAAAATAGAAACAAAAATAGGAAACAGATTTTTATATTTACTTCTCCATTAAATCCTTTGCAGCGTGCTGTTTGGTTGAAACTTACAAAGTAATTCCATCTTCACATGGATATAAACTTGTAATAGAAAGAAAAATTTTAATAACCTTTTTATATACTACTGGTTATTTCTTTTTCATACTACTACACCAAAACTTGACAAGCAGTTTCGTAAAAGTTAGTTGCAATGTGGAATCTGAAACAATATCTATCAACTATTTGTAAGGCCTTTAACAGCATGTATTATTTTGAAAACAATTTTAATACTGTAGATCCCCTGAAGAGGTCTAAGAGGTCAAAGTGAAACTCCCACCTCTGTGGTTCCCTGGCCCACATGTCAAGAACCTCTGGCTTACATTATTTTTCAACCAGCCAAGTGATGTTCGTTTTCCATTCATGATAATAATGACTTGTTTAAAGGGAAACTTTTTAATAATCAGTTAAAAGAAATACTTTAAATTATAATACAGAGCGTAACTATGGGGAAAATGTGAAGTAATTTGGAAAACGAAAAACCAGCACAATCTTCAAATCTACCCTCTACACTTATTTTACAAGGAAGGAAACAGCTAAACAGCTTTCCTTCACCTTGTCTCTTTGCTGGATTCTCCTAATTGTGAGGTCTTGGCTCTTTTTACTAACTCTTCAGGAAGGTGATTCTCAAGTAATTTGGTATAATCGAATTATGTGGCAGATTAAAGGCTAATACTAGGTAACACTGATGGTAAGGAAGAACTTTTCTTCTCCCGAATTTTATAAAAATAAAATATCCATAATAAGGCACCTCTATACTACTATCAATCCACTCAAATACATATTAATTTCCTATTAAGTAGCAGCACTGTACAAGAATTTATAAGACTCATAAACCTACCAGATAGTTATCCTGTCTTTAAAGACTTTGCATTCTGATTGGCAAAATTTTGACCATTGGCAAAATGTAGAGTAGAAAGGTAGAAGTATTTTACAAGGCAGAGTTGTCGAAATTCAAGGGAATAAAGATTATCTTCCCTTCAGAGAAAGGGTGCCCTGTGAGGCTGATGTGGGTCGTAGGTCAGATGAAGAGATTTGGAGGTAGGGCGCTAATTTATAAACAAAAGGCAGCAATTAGTAGTAGGTTTAAATTGCCCCAAAGGTAACAGGGCTTTAAGACAGTCAAGTCACACTCTTAGGCAGGAACCCCTGATGTTGGGGAACGGGGAAAGGGTCACAGGCCTTGCTGGAGGACACCACTGGCCTGCGCATCTCAGGCCCACGGGGAGCCCCACCGAGGCTTTGCCTCACCTGACCGTCCTGACCACGAAGTACACCAGCACCGCGCCGCTCACCACCATCAACACTGTCAGGGCCCGCTGGGTCATGGGCTTGTCGCCAGGGTTGGGGCTCACAGCAAGGCCGCCACCCACCGAGCCTTCCCCGGCCTTCCCTCCGTGATCCTCCGCCTCAAGCCCGGCCCCAGGGCTGCTGCCATTGCCGCCCTCGGAGCCCCGCGGCCCCGCAGCTTCAGCTAAACCACGGCCCGGCTGCTGGGCAGCGGTAGGGCCCGGTGGCAGCGGCGGCAATGTCCGTGGTCGAGGGTCAGGAGGCCCAGGACCTGGTGCGGCTTCGGCTGCCTGTAGTAGTACTGCCAGGGGCCCGCTTAGCTCAGGCAGCAGCAGCAGGAGGAGGACGGAAGCCACGAGGTGGCTGAGACAGCAGCAGCAGTGCGAGGCCTTCATCGTTCCCAGACTGCTCTCTCACCACCCGGGGGCCGCCGGGCCCGCCACGCTGGCTCCAAAAGGGGCCATAGGCGCAGACGAAAATAAAGAAGAGGTGACCAATCGCCAGGGAGAGGCCCGGTCGTGGCAGGTGGCAGAGGCTCTGGCAGCTGCAGCTGCCGCGAGAACCGGAAGTTCGTACATCTCAGCGGCCACTGCTGCTAAGGACGCCTTCGGTTACTAACTTGTAGGGGCGGGGTGCACTCGGTGACGTCAGAGGCCCAGCGCCGAGTGCGCACGCGCACTTGTGGAAAGCGCAAGGACTTGTTTTCTGGAAGCTTTGCTCTTTTCACTGTTAGTGAGGTGCAGTCAAGAACGCGTATTAGCAGAGTAAGTAGACAAAAAAAGATTGTGTAACATGTACAGGAACTCTCTCCTGCAGGAAGCTTGAGAGAACGGAAGCTCATAATCTGAATTCATTGGTGTCAAACTGCAATAACACATTTAAGCAGTAAACCAGAGGGGCTTAGTTTCCCTCAGCTTGATTACCAGCCTTAAGCATGTGGGTCCCTCATCTCCTTTTCTAAAGAGCGTTTACTTTAGAAAACTTTACCATTGTAATTTTTTTCCACTTTCCTTTTCAGATGTAAATGTTTTTAAAAAGTTGTGGCCAATTTTGTAGTTGAAAACTATCTCAAGGTTATGGAAGCCATGCCTTTGAAATATAGTCAGCAAGGAAGATAGTGAGCCATCTCTTTTGTGTGGGAGGATAGGAGCCTAACCGCTGTAGGCTTCTCCCTTCTAGTCGTAAAACCACCTCCTCTCGTGGAGGAGAAAATTTACTTTTCCTTTTGGTAACGTCAATCAGCAAACTCAGGTAGTCCATGATCTTCCCAACATAGTTCTTAAAAACTCTCCACTACTGTTTTTTTTTTGTTGTTTTGTTTTTCTTTTTTTAAGTTGAGCTTAGAAGAGTTCTATCCCCTTTCCCGACTGCCAGTAATCTTCAATAATGTCTTCCTTGCCTGTTTGACTTAGGTAATATGGAACTTCGATTTGTGCAGATAACAAACGAAAAATCTGAACAAGATGAGAAATTGGTATTTGCCAATTTATTAAAATGTGTTTATTCAACAAATTGTTTGGAGTTCCTACTCTTATTTATTTAGAGATGGAGTCTCGCTATGTCACCAAGGCTGGAGTGCCGTGGCGCAATCTCGGCTCACTGCAGCCTCTGCCTTGCGGGTTCAAGTGATTCTCCTTCCTCAGCCTCCTTAGTAGTTGGGATTACAGGCATGCGCCACCACGCCCAATTAATTTTTATATTTTAATAGAGACTGGGTTTCACCATGTTGGCCAGGCTGGTCTGTAGCTCGTGACCTCTAGTGATCTGTCCGCCTCGGCCTTCCAAAGTGCTGGGATTACATTCTGATTATTGAGTAGTGAAAAAATGTGACTGATCCTTGCTTCATAGAACTTAGGTTCAAGTGGTGATAGTAATCACACTAATTTTAAAATCTGAATTGTGTTTTTAAATGAAACATACAACATCTATACTACAAATTTTGTAAACTGCTCTTTTAGGTAGAGTGGACAGGGTGGTATGTCTTTTAGTTGCTTTCAGGGAGCAGGGTGAAGCAGTTGCTTCTGTCTGGCAGAATTGCAGGGATTAGGAACCTTAATGTTGAGTTTCAGTGTAAAGAAGCTCATTTGTGGCACACCCTATCTAATGCCAGCTTCCAGATGGCATTTATCAGTGATAAAGTAGCCCTGGTGATTTCCCATCTCGCTTACTCAGAGCTTCATTCCACATTACAAATGGAATAGAGTTAGTATTTAATTCCTCTCCCCACCCCCCAAAAAATGGAATAGAGTTAGTATTTAATGCCACCTCCCCAAAATGTCCAACATCCAACTTGTCAATAAAACGGAAAGAAAAAAAGAAAACGTGCATTATCTTTCCTTCTTTCCAAAATCTGATTTTGTCATGTGTTCTTCATCATGATTAATGGCATTATCCTCCCAGATGTGCAGGCATAAAACCCAGGTATCAATCATTACCCCAAATTCCCATCTGCAGCAGTCCTTGGCAGTAACTGGGACATGCAAAGTGCTAAATGATTCTGAAATCTTAGAGTAAAACTAATGTTTACAGATGATTAGGGAAAGGCATGTTCTAATGTTTCTCAAAATGTAGCTCTCAACCCAAAGCAAAATCAGAAAGGGAATTTGTTAAAATTGAATATTCTGTATCACTATTTCAGAAATTCTAGACAGAATTTTTGGAAGTGGGGACATGGACTATATATGCATTTTTAACAAACTCTTGGAGTGATTTTCAGGTACACTGAAATTTAAGAATCTCTTTCCTTTCCCTTACTACCTGCTTGCAGATATTTTCATATCCTGTCCATTTCCCTAAATTTTTTCCCATTAACCCATTCCTATAGGCTTCTAGAGCTCTTAGGGCTACATACCAACCTGTTTGGCGCCCAGCGCTTCCTACCTTCACTATCTTTTCTACCTTAATATATAGCCAATATATCTTGGCTATATTACTGCCAAGATAAACGTTTTAAGTGCAGATCTCTCTTGCTATAGCAACCAATCAACTAAACAACAAGAAGAAACGAACAGATTTTTCAGAGATACTGAATTCTCAAGAAAAGTGATCTTAAGCAGGTAACATACCTGGAAGTTATTTTGCTCTTTTTAGAATACCATATTATTTGTAAAACATCATTATATGATGACATCTTGAAGCCCGTCATAGGAATGACGAAAAATTTTCCTAGGAGAAAACACTGTTTTGCTTGTGTGATACAAAGTACAATTTTGAGCACAAATGTCGATTTAAAATATCTTTCAAACTAAAGTTGATTTTTTATGAATTTTTCTCTTAATTTTAATATACTTGTTCATTTATTTCTTATCAATTGCCTTGCAAACAAGAGATAAACATATGAGGAAAAAAAAATTCTTAGAATGAGAAATTTGTGTCAAGTTCCTTAAATTCATCTACACGCTGGGAAAAGACCAACATAATTCTAAAGGAAAGCAGTAACATAGCTGACAGAACAAATATGTTTCATGAAAATATACTTAAAAACTATTGGCCTGCTGAGTAAAAGCTGAACTTTTCATTCTTGTATTGAATAATGATTGTGAATTCTAGTTGAGTACTAAGTATGTACCAGATATTGTGATATCAAATAGTAAATGATTAACTTGTTTAAGCCTCAAAAATACTCCATAACTTTTCTTACTTTACAGTTGAAGAAACTGAGACACAGAGTAATTGATTTGGCCAAAATTCACATGATTATTAACAATAGAACTGGATACTGAACTCTGGCAGTCTAGTTGCAGAGACAGATTATTAATGCCACATTATTATATTCTCCTAGTTAAGCATTTCCATGGTTTGATCCTAGCTGCTTAATCAACTATTGCTAGAATAATGTGGCATAACCAATTACCATAGAAATATCAGTGGCATAGAGCGAATCAGCATTTATTTCTCCCATGTCTTTGGCCAAGCTGTGGCTGACTAACTTAAGCTAACCTTGGCTGCATTTGGTGCCAGGCTATAGGTTTAGTTAAAATTTATCGCACTTGTCTCAAAGTTTCCTAGGATCAGAGGACTATCAAAGATATTAAGGACCCGAAACTTTGAATTTCACAATTTTATCTTTTTAAAAAATATTTTTTACTTTGTTTTTATTTTCATAGATTAAGGGATACAAGTATGGTTGTGTTCTATAGGTGTATTGTGTAGAGGTGAAGTTTGGGCTTTTAGTGTACCCATCAGCCGAGTAGTGTACATTATACCCAATAGGTAGTATTTTAAACCTTACCACCCTTCCTCTTCCACCTTTTGTTGTCTTCGGTGTTTGTTATTCTACTCTGTATGTCCCTGTATACTCGCTGTTTAGCTCCCACTTGTAAGTGAGAACATGCAATTATTTCCTTTCTGTATCTGAGTGATTTCATTAAGGATAATGATCTCTATTACCATTCTTGTTGACACAAAATACATGATTTTATTCTTTTTTTTTTTTTTTGGCTTAGTGGTATTCTATGGCACACACACACACACACACACACACACACCCCACAGACACATATCAAATTTTCAGGTGGCATACACACACATACCCCCCACACATATGACATTTTCAGATGTCGACTTAGAGCTTTGCTGATGTGGCCAGAAAGTGGGGCAGACTGCCTTATGACTATGGGTGTAAAGCAGCTACAATTCCCTTAGAGGTTACTGGGGATATTCATGTAGTGCTCAGTACAGATTTGGCCCATTGAAAGAAGGAATAAATGAATGAATGAATCACATCAAAGCACACAACATGTTTTTAAAATGTTTATCAAAAAGCTTAGAATAATGCATTCTTAGAATGGGATTATTTTTTTCTCTGGTGACAAGTAAAATAATTTTTAACATAGTGTCTTATGATCAGCATCATTCTTGAATATGTGCCTTTTTTCTCCTTTCCATCCCATATATTTGTCTTGGCTTCAGATTAATTAGGAAGCCTTTAAATTACAGAGTTTGCTTTTAATCTTTCTTCTGCTGCTATGAGAGAATATGTAGTAATCACGTAACAGGATGTTCAGTGTATGTTTCTAGGATTGGCGTATTTATTAGTATCCTTTTGTCATACATGATGAACAGAGATGTTGTTAAACAAAACATAGGAACAATGTAGATATTAACACTGGAATTCTCAGTTTCTATTTCCCTTATTTTCTTTAATTGAGTGATATTTTCTTACATATATCTAATTAGACATATAAAAATTTTATTCATAGTTATATATATGTATTCTGTAAACTTTTCAAAGCTCTTTTTAAAAATTTTCAATTGACAATAATTTTACATTTTTATAGTGTACAACGTGATGTGTTGATACATGTATACATTGTGTAATGATCAAATCAGGGTAATTAGCATATTAATCACCTCAAACATTTGCCTTTTTTGTGTGTTGGGAGCATTCAAATTCCTCTCTTCTAGTTATGCAGAGATATTCAAAATTACAATTAGAAAGAATAAGTTTTGATGTTCTATTGCACAGTGGGTTGAATATAGTTAGTAATATGGTATTGTAAATCAAATCGCTTTCTTGAGGTTGTAGGGCATTAGGCTAGGATGCTGGCCAAGAGTAGTGTATGTATCTTCAATTTCAACCTAAGTCAAAAAGATAAAAAGTAAAACAAGAAGTATACCAAGAAGCTATGGCAGATTGAATAAGCAGGTCAGTGATGCTGGGTAAACATCTAAACTACATCATGTGCTTGGGGGAATGTTTTGTGTGCTGATGCGAAGAATGAATATTCTGCACCTCTTCGTTAGAGTGTTCTGTAAATATCTG